TCATCATTTATTTCGCTTGTTTAATGGAGTGTCTGCTTCGGTATTTATGATACATGGAGAGAAACAGCTAAACCATTGCGTAACTGATGACGTCTGTTTCAATGATTCAGATATGCTTCGACTCATATGAGCTATCACGAGTGTGATAAGATAGTTGATGTTATCTAATACATCACTTCTATTGAATTTATTAAGCACTTTATTTTTAATGCAAATTACTCTTTCTGTAAATAAAGCTGAAAGAAATCCTTTCAAGGAAAAAGATCAAAACTCTGCAAGCAACTTGTATTAAAATACGTATTACATACCGTGTTAATATAGGCTGTAAGCGTAAAACTTGGTAGACATAATTATCTAACAAATTTAAGCTTGAATACATGCAGTTTGTTTATTTTATATTTTGTGTAGATAAAAGTGTTATTCATATCTTTATTGTGTTATCCATAATTGCATTCGTTATTGTTTGGATGTGGAGGGGAAATCACTAAAGTAATGTTGTACAGAATGAAGAAGTGAAGTACGTTCTGTTAACATAAAAATGCTACAACGACCGTATAATGAAGCCACTTCACTTTCTTTAGAACATATTAACAATTAAATGCTTTTCCCCAGTAATGGATAACTTTGACGATTACTTGTAGTAGCATGACCAGTCACAGTGAAGTAACACATAAACAGGCGTGAAATACTACTTAACTCGTACTTACATGACCAGTCACAGTGAAGTAAGACATAAGCAGGCGTGAAATATTACTTAACTCCTATTACATGACCAGTCACAGTGAAGTAACACATAAACCGTCATGGAATATTACCCGCTTAGTATTTACACGATGAATTATAGAGAAATGATACTTAAACTGTCATAGAATTCTACCAACAAAGTTCTTCCGAACATTAAAAACTAGTTAAATGTTGCCCTATTATCACTGCTAAAAAAATCATTTAACCCCTAACATTATTATTCCCCCAGTTTTTCTGCTGTACGGCAAGGCGGATGTACGTGTGATTACTGTTGGTGGATATTTATAGGTATGGGTAAGCAGGTGGTGGTATCTAGCTCGTGGGAGGCGTTAATTGGTGGAGTGTTGTATTGTGGCTTGGGGGTTTCTCGCCAAGAAGCAGCAGTGTGCGTGCTGTTCCTGTCGATTGTTTGTTGATCATGGGAGTTTGCTGTAGGATTTTTATTGCTTCGTGAATTTGAAGAGTTGTGAAGTCGTTAAATCGGCGGTTTATTTTGGTGTTTTGTACTAGGTCCTGACGTGTGAGGATACAAAGATACAAAACTGGAACCATCCACGCC